ATATGAGGAAATGAAGAGGGAAGCAGCCTGGAAAATTCATTGCACAATACCAGGAAGGAAGCAGCCTGGAAAAAATTAACTGCATACTTTCAGGAAGAATTATTTGCCAAATTCTTGGCAAAAGCAACAAGAGTGTTTACAGGACAAACTTTCCATACAAAAAAAACACATCTAAGAGGTCATTTCAATATTCAGTAAATATGACACAAAATATTCAGTAAATATTACACAAAGGATGTTGATTGAAAAAAAACTACACCATGCCGTATGAGAGTTGTAAAAATAATTAATCTATTCAAAAAGTTGATTCAAATAAGAGTAACTTACTGCAAAGTGTGACTTTTTGTAAAAGCTCCCAAGATCGAATGTTTTTCTTGTTGTAGTGTTTAAAGTTATGTCTCATATTGCACACAACATATATTATATAGGGGGCTGCAAGTATTGTGAGACAAAAAACTAACCTCTATACACTTACAAGTTTGCTATACCAAACTGTAGCAGGTTGACAGAATGCCTATGCAATATGCCTGATATATTCTCTTCCAAACTGTAACAATATACCTGACATATTCTTTTCTTATTATGTTTTTTCTACTTTTCCTGCATTATATATACTGTGTCAGTGTCTTTATTGTGATGTTTTTATGTAGTTTAACTTGCTTTTCAGTTGCATGTACTTAATATCCTTTCAATTTGCAACATTATATAATTATTATCAAGAAAACTAAAGCAATTGGAATAGTGTTGTGCTGAACACTTGTAAATATATAATAATATCTACTATAGGGAGCCATAACAATTGACAGTATTTATTTTATTTGTTTCGGCCAACAAGAACACAGTTGATCTAACATTTTTGAATAATACACACAGTAAGGATAAACAAAAGTCTAATATATATTCCTCTTAAGATGCTGCAATCTGATTGGTCCAAGAAGAAAACTAACATAATATCATAATTTTCTACATATTAACAACAAACCAATTACCCAGGACAGTAATTCACCATCAACATTTATAATAATTCACACACAATTTTCTATATATTAACAGCAAACCAATTACCTAGGACAGCAATTCACCATCAACATTTATAATAATTCACTATCAACATCACAACAGCTATCACAAAAAGTTTACCAATATTTCATTACATGTAAAACATGTTACATTGGCAATCCATAAACACAATAAAGACCATTGATAATAATTATCCTTAAACATAACAGCAAACACCACAACAAGTGTTACCAATATTCCATTAAATAGTAAACAAGTTAGATTAGCAATCCGCAAACATAAATAAGAAAGGTTGTTCTCTACCAATATCAGCACTACTCTTCATGCTTCAATACATCAGCCTTAAAAGTATATCTCATTACTGCAAACTTGCACATCATTTGGCAGCACAACAAAACTCTTATAACATGCAGTTGTTCAAGTAATTGACAATGAGTAATTTTAATTAATTGCGGTATCATTCTTAAGGAAACTACAAAAACTAAAAGCATTATTAAAGCAATACTAACCTTAATTTAGTGCTTTTGACTTCGCTGATATATTTTTTGCAGCCATTGGTACTTCCTATCAAGATCTCTTATTGCTGCCCATATCTCTCTTTCATTCCTCCTAGACAAGTACTCCGTAGCAAAGCAATATAAGTCATCACCAAAAATAATGTCAGGTATGGAATGAATCTTTGTCATCGCCTCACTAATGCTACACCCTATCTTATCCCTACTATCATTCCTTATCGAAACATCATCAACTAGTTTATCCCAATGTGTAAGCATTTGAGCTCCAACTCCATAAGGTTTTTTTTATTTTCTTTGTATTTTACCCACCACATTGCTCCCTTGCTTTTTTCTTTCCACTGTTATTTGTGGTACTGTAATTTTTTATATCAACTCTAACAACTAAATTGCAAACATCATCTATGTAATTGCTGTGTAATTGGGAATGACATCCTCCTTGGAATCACCACTTCCTTCCTCTAGATTTTCTTCTTTATTAACATGAACATCCTGAGTGTTTTGATTCACAGTATCATCATCAAATAATACTCCAGAAGATGGAGCCCAAGCATAGTGTCCAGTTGCCACAACATTGCTGAACATTCTATCAAACTTACTGCAAAGTGAAGGTTCAATCCTAGCATGTCTAAATTTTTTAAACCCTCTGATTTCCTATATGGAACAAATATGAAAGAGCACATGCATAAACCATATAAAATATGCTAAATAGTTTAAGAAATAGGACAAGACAAAGATAAATCCAGGAAACAAGGGTATCAATAACTAACCTGAGTTTTTTTATTCCACCACTCATCACTAGCATTAATAGTTCCAAATTCATTATTACATCCTACTCCTGTTTCAGATATCAGTTTTTTCCAAATCCTCCACTCCTTTTTTGCACCATCCCATTTATTTTTTAGTTGAGTCTTAGTAAAAGCAAGACTAGTTTTCTCTTTGAAGACAACCATAATAAATTTCCACCCAGTCTTATCGAAATGAGTGTTTGGCCTCATTCCTTTCTCAATAGCAACAATACAAATATCATAAAATATATGCAGCATATCTTTACTCCAAGATACTTTATTCGAGCTTTTAGCATCTTTCATTGAATATTTTTTTTCTAGCAAAATGATACATACATAGGAATTTAATCAAAATTGCAATTTAAAAAAATAGGAGCATGCTGCCAACAATACAATTGATTCAAATAACTATTTGTATATTCATAGTACATAAGACATAAAAACATCTTCAAATTCATACCCCCTGTAATCAATAAACTGTAGTTCATGAATCAACAATAAAAAACACATAACCTCTCCTGATATACTATACACTAACAAATTGAAAAGAACTTCATGAACAATGAAATATTATCATTACAAATCTGAGTACAAGCTACTTGGTTGTATGACAAAACAAGCATCAATTTTATTGTACACAACATAGCTGAGCCAAGAAAATTAATAAACAAAACTACTGCCACTAATATCATTTTAGTAGAACAACAGCACTGTAGATGATATACACTCCAACTAGATAAAATTGTAGACTTATTAAGTAATATTTGAAGTTGTTATAGATAGATGATCACTATCATCAAGGTGCACAACTTTATCAAATGCATTGAAGCATATTTGGAGCTTCAACAAAAACCAATGCAAGCTACAAGTAGAGGAAGTTGATATCTGATATATAACAAATAAGTAGAGAAAAGTACAAAAAATAGGGAAGGGGAAATTTACTCAAACTAAAATAAGTTTGTAAGGGTAAACAATAATTTTAGCTGACTTGCAATTTCTTCTCTCATCATTTTTTAATTAACAAATAAATGTTTTGAACCACAGTATAAGTTCAAAAGAAAACTCTTTTTAGCTTTACAATTTGGAACGTTGATTGATATAACAGGGTGTTGAATAGTAAATAAAGCACGCCAGCAACAAATTCTCAATTCAACACCTCAAGACTCGCTTAAACAAAATTCTACACAACAACCAGTGTATGCTCAAAAATTGAAAATATGTCTAAGAAATGCAGAGTGAGCAGAAAAATATATATATTCAACTTAATTAGTCGAGTATCAACCTGACACACACAAACACACTATTATAATGGAAAATAAATCTAATCCTTCGCCCCCTTCACTCCCCCACCCTCTCTTCCCCTTTCTCTCTATCCAAAGTACCTTTATTTTAAAATACCAATTAATATTAGTTTTCTTTGATCCCTGAGAGCACTGAGATCTTATTCATACAGGTGCTGAATTCTCCTCAAAAGACTATGGCCATACAAGTCTCTTTCACATACATACTACTCTTGGTATTTAAAAATATCTTTCTATATTTGTGATACTAATCTTATAAACTCTTTGTTGTACAAACTTAGAGCAGCTAATTAAACAAATAAAAACATGAGATAGTGCTGATGAGCACAGCATAATGAATTAATAAATCACTACAGTAATTTTTTAAATAACAGCTAACAAACTATATTCACAACTCACTTTTTATGCAAGGTAGAGGGGAAGAAAAAAAAACACGGTCCTCAAATGCTTAAGTGTAATATCAGTTGTTAGAGCTCAGAACATTTTTCAGGAGATTTATCCCCCAACATGACCACATAAAAATAAAAAATAAAAAAAAAGATAACTAGATTAGTCACTAATATAAATGGGGGTGTGGGATGGTGAGCAAACAGAATGAGCCTTAGAGATCTGTTGATCTGGACAAAAAGCAACTAGATCTCTAAAGAGAGCTTAGCCTTAAAGATCTGTCAACTATGATGAAGAACAAAGGAAAGTGATGGCTTCTTGTTTGGCCCTATGATGGCTTTTCAGGAGCTGAAGGAGCAATTATGAAGAAAAAAAGTTTTGATATCTTAATAGTTTGGCGCAGTAATAGGTTTTAAGGATCTAACGACAAATATGGAGTAATAGCTTACTGATCTTTTTATGGCTTTTACAAATCTAGGGGGTATGGTGACAGAAATCTTTTACATTCTGGGTATTTGGATCTGGAGGAGTGATGGCTTTTAGGGATTTTTCAGTCTCTGGTGAAGAAAACAAAGTGAATCAAAATCTCTGGAGCAACGGTAACAGTGTTGTGTTTTTGTAAGGGAAGGATAATGTTGTCTAGTTTTTTCAACAGTCTTAAGCACCACAAATTTGTCAAATTTTGATTGTTTGTTTACTGTCTTCAGACCAGCTTTTCACGTGAAAAGTTGTCTAAAACTACTTCAAATTAACTGCGGCCATACCTCAAAAATTGACGTGGAGTCCACATATTAATAGCAGCTTCCTATTGTTACCAAACAATAAAAAAATATGTTTGGACTAACCGCAAAAGCCACCA